GAATTACAATGTTTTTTGTAATTTTGATATCGTACTCTGGTTTTAAATGAAGTTAGACGGCAAAAAAGAGAGAGTTAAAAAGCCTGATTGGTAAAGTTAGTTCAATATTATAGATTTAAATTTAAGTTTATGAATTTTAAAATTTTGCAATATATTACATACGATAACAGATGAACATATAATAAATAGTAAGTTTCATATATAGATAATATATTATACAATTTTTGGTGAAAATATATATTATAATATAAAATTTTATAGTAATTAAATGATATATATATATATAAATTAATTTATATATTTTTTTGTCATTGTTTATATATGTTATTTACATTAGTAAAAATATTGTACCGAAGATCGGTGTTAAAGCGGATGCTAACTTCTTAGTAATAACGGGTTTTTCGACTTCTACATTATTGGCTAAGTTGCATGTACAAGTCAAAAAAAGAAGAAGAAGTTAGTGTCCAATCTTCTTTTACTTTTGTACTATTGATTGTATGCTAGGCAGTGTTCTAAAAAGCGGTCTAGGCGGTCGTCTAGGCCCCGACTAGGCGCTAGGCTCTTATGCAACGCCTAGATAACCGCCTTGACCGCCTAAAATTACACAGATCTTGTTTAATGTATTTTTTCAATTTTAATTAGAGTTTTATTTATATATATAGTTATAAATATTCATATATTGTTTAATATAAATATAAATAAATGTTTTATCTAATTTTTGTTTATAATTTCATAATTTTTAGTTTTATATAGATATTTTATATAACTTTTATATATAATATCATATTTATAATATTTTATGTTATAAACGTCTAAACCGCCTAAAAAAGTCGCCTAGGCTCCGATTAGGCGTTCTAGGCGCTAGGCATTGGGTCACCGCCCGCTTAGCGCCTAGCGCTTTCTTGAACACTGATGCTAGGTGATTCAAATGGAAATAACTAAGATATTTCATTTAAATATTTAACTCTGACATCAATCACTCCATATCTATAGCTTATTTTTCATCAGCCTAATAATCCATCAAATCGAGTTTTTTTTCCAAAATTATAATTGTGACACCAATCACTCCATGTCTTATACGGTTCTGTTATATAAGTGGATTTTGAATCCAATACAAGTAAAAAAAAAATCAATTTGAAAATCTGATTAATTGGATAATATAGTTATATTCAAGTTAGTAGCACCAGTTGTTGTTTTATTTTTTCATTTAGTGGAGCCGATTGGCATTGCATCTTGGGTGAAAAAAAAAAACAAATGTACTGCAATGTATTCGTCTAAAGTAACCCCATAATTTGATCGAAATTATAAGTTAACATACACATAATAGAACAAGTAGCCGGAATAGCTCAGCTGGACAGAGCGTTTGGTTGTTGACCACAAAGTCGGACGTTTGAACTCACCTTTTCTTATTATCATCACCTTAAATGGCAAACTCGTCTTTTATGCAAACAACTAGAACCATCATCTTTTTCATCTATCTGATTCTGAGGTTCTTGTTCTTATATTTTCCCATGAAAAGTATGGCATCACGCCAGATAAAATCCGTTCTTTGACCTCTGTCTATATGTCCATGAAATGGAAGTTAAATACCTATTTCTCCACTAAATGAAAGTATAATAGCTTAATTCCCCCATAATCAAAAGTTCGAGATCTATAACCCCACAGTGCTGGTTTTAATTGGTTTAATGTATACTTAACAGATAAATAAACCATCTAAATCTCATTATAACCAGAGTATATCCTATTACAACGATAACATTCATTTTAACCCCAAATCACCAGATCGAAAACCCTAAAATCTAAAATCCCCAAAATCGACAAACCCCGGAAACTAAGAAATCAAAAATCGAAACTCGTCGATTTGCTGCTCAAAATCTTGTAGATGTTGTTAGTCCTGCATCACCCGTCTGTTATTGGTGATGTCGATCCTGAAGCCGGAGAGAGAGAGAGAGATGAATTTCACACAGAAGAAATGTTGAAGGAATGGACCGACGAACCACCGATCTGCCATGATGTGTACCCGGAGAGCGATACTGAAGAAAACAGCGACGACCCAGCAAGATATCAAACACATATCAGGCACGGTGATGGCCATTTGTACGATAAGTTAACATTTTTCAGTGGAGTTGCTTTCAAAGAGGCGGTCATTGATCACACTCTCAGAACTGGATGCAATCTGAAGCAATACATGTAAGATAAGGATACAATTGGCTTCAAATGTGTTGGTTTTGATTGTAAGGAAGATGGAGCACAATGTGATTGGCAAGTATATGCCACAATTCTTCCGAACGATAGAATGTGGAAGATTAGGAAGTTCATAGATAAGCATAGATGTATCCCAAATAGAAAATGTGAGATGTTTAAGGTGTCTCATATAGCTAGGTTATTTATTGATAAGATTAGAGATAATCCTGAATTCTATATGCTTATGAAAATTGAAGAAATCATTAAGAAACAATGGAAGATCAGTGTCACTAGGAATCAATGTCAGTCTGCGAGGAAGAAGTCAATGCAATGGATTGAGAAGGAGTACGATGACCAATTTAATTTGCAAGACTAAGGGACTGCGACTGAGATACTTGATGCAAACAAAGATTCACATGTAGAGGTTGAATGTCTAACGAATGATAAAGGTAAAGACATGCTCAACATGTTCTATGTTTGTTTTCATAACCTTAGAATGACATGGAAGGACTCTTGTAGGCCTCTAATCGATATTGATGGTTGTTTTCTAAAGAAGAAAGTGAAGGGGTAGTTATTGGTAGCATTAGTTAGGGATGCAAACAATCGTATCTATCCTATAGCTTTGGGGTGGTGAAAGTAGAGAACATAGAAAATTGGGTTTGGTTTGTGAAGCTGCTGAAAGAAGACTTTGGATTAAGTGATGGTGAAGGTTTCATCATGATCTCAGATAGGCAAAAGGTAGAATATATTTTGTTGTTTTGTTTTTTCTTTTCATTTGAATGGTAATGATTTCTTATGTTTGTTCTATTGTTTCAGGGTTTAATCAAAGTTGCTAAGCTTGAGTTACCCAAGATAGAGCATCAAATATGTGTTCAACAAATCTATGGGAACTTGAATAAGACGCATGGTAGTAAAACCAGGATAAAGCCACTGCTATGGGATTTGACTCTCGATTGCTCGATCTCCACATGATGATTTACTCATTCCCTATGTGATCTAGGATCCAACATTAACCTCATGCCCTAGTCTGTTTGCTGAACAACTTGGGAGGACTGCTTATAGGCCTACACATATCAATCTTCTATTAGCAGATCGTTCAAAAGCGAATACCTGAAGGTATCCTCGAAGACGTTCCTGTCAAGATAGGAGACTGCCTAATACATGTTGACTTTGTGGTATTGGCCTATGATGAGGAACCCAAAGATCCACTTATCTTTGGTAGAACTTTCTTAGCTACAACTGGGGCTAAGATTAATGTGAAGAAGGGACAGATCTCGCTGAATGTATGCAATTTTGTGATGGGAATCCAAGATAACCCTTTACTCATTTCATCCCTATCGCTTTGCTCGAGTCACTTTCGTCTCGTCCTTTCTTCATTTGCTTTTGCTTGGTTCACGGCAACATACCAACATTATTTTGGAAAAAAAGCAAAGAATTATTCTTGAAGGAGTTCAAGGATGAATCGAAAAAGAAATCTTTATTGGTTCTAACCGCCATGTAATTCTCTGTAGGCATTCACAACATCCCAAATTCCATACCAAATTTCACAACTATATCCAATAGGCCTTCCAATATATCCAATGGGGCTCATCATTAAAGCTAATATTCAAGAACCTTAATATTCAAGAACCTTCTAGACTCATTCTCATACTAAACCATGATAAATCAACCATTTTCACATTCTTGACAAAGAAGTATTCGCATCATTGGAAAAGTATCCTCAGCATTCTTCCAACCTTTGTGCGGTCATTCCTTTTAAGTAAATTAGTCGGATCATCGGACATGGTTCTCACCTTTTTACTCTAAAGGAAATTATATCAATAGTATATTTTTTTTATATATATAAGAGAGAAAAATACCATCACTTTTCCACTATGGTCTTATTATCAAATATGAACAAGGACTCAAGTTCTATGAATATTAACCATTTTGAATATTAACCGTTTTGACGAGGTAAAAGAAAGAGCATTGAGATTAGCTTCAGCCTTTATGGATTATGTTGGAAACGTGGATGTCCTCGTGTTTATCGGTTTGCCCTCTAGATTTTTTATTAGTCGGATTGAATTGAATCTGTAGCATTACTCAGTCATGTTCTATAATTAGTTATGGGTTTGTCTTTTATGGCGTGGATATTCGTTCGGTTAAATGTTGGTTTTTGACGGAAAATATGCAGTCGAGAATGCATTGCTCAAAAAATAAGAAAAAATATGCTTAGGGCTTGATTGGTTCTCCCGCTAGTACCCGCCTAGCGGTTGCTAGCGGTCGATTGCGGTTGTTAGCGGTTGATACCAATCATAGAAACCTCTCCATACCGCTTCGAACCGCTCCAAATCGCTGGATTTCAAAACCTCATTTCCGCAAGCGTTTGCGGTTGCGGGCGGTAGCGGTTGGATTAAAAAAGAAAGAAAAACAAACGTTACTTGAAATTATTATAATATATATTAATCCTATATTTATAATCTTGTATTAAAAATTCTTTATTTTTGAATAATTATTTAGTACTTTATTTATGGTTTTAATTATTAAGCATGTTTAATTTTTCTAATATTATAATAATAATATATTGGTATTTTTATTTTTTTTAGTAATATTTCTTATTTATTTTGGTCATTTTTTTATTTAACTGCTACCGCACCCGCTGGTTTACCAGTCATAAAACTCCCGCAAACGCATCTATTTTCAAACGCTAAACCAGTCGTTCAAAATGCTTGGTAACGCTTGAAGCCGCAACTGCCCGCTTCCGCAAACTCCCGCAACCGCAACCGCAACCGCTGCGTTTAAACCAGTCAGGCCTTAGTGGAGAGTTGAGAGGAGGCTAGTAGTAGAGATATCCCACACCGAGTGATTAATACATCGTTTCTTTGTGATATACTAACCAAAAAAGTTGTAATCTCTGAACATGTATCATTATCATAGTTAGGAGCAAAACCCAAATACGAGCCCGGAAAAATAAAAGGGAACCTGTCAGACCGCCATGCGACCACCCCCAGCAACCTCCAGAAACTCTAAGAGTGTCGTAGCCGTCAACCACCCCTTTGATCGTACGGTTTTGCCTCACATCCACTAGGGTCCAGGGACTGTCCCCTAGAACTCAAGGACACAGAGGTGCTAGCCTCCTCTCAAACTCTCGACTAATCATGTCTTACCATTGAACACTTACAACATTAATATAAACAAATAAACAAATTATTTCTCCACGCCATAACCATAGATGTCAGGGCATATGCTTTGGTGCATCTTTGAAGATTGATCTTAAGGGAAAAAAAATATTAAAATATTATAAGAGCTTTAATTAAGATCTTTTGTAAAGTAATTGATTATTGGTAGAACATATTTAGATCATATGAATTAATAATTTAATAATCAAAACATTTTAAAGTATATTAATTAAAAAATTAGTTTTAAAATTGAAAACATAAAAAAGTAAACTTATATTAACATTGATTTGAAAATAAAAAGAAACACAAAATACAATTCCAAATAATTATAAAAAAAACATTAAAGATATAAATGAAAAACAAAAAAAACAATCAAACATATTAATTAAAGGTTACAAACATTTTATTTAATTAATACAAAGTTAAAAAAACTTAAATATTTGAAAGATTTTCGTTATCACAAATCGCAACGAATCAGACCATTCCACGTCGCCACAAGATCAGCCCAAAAACAATTCTAGCCCAAGAACATGAGAAGTGTTCTAAACCCACTTTTTACAAAGTTTATTATTATTAAACTCTAAGATCAGGTCTGAAGATGTGCCGTTAAAAGTGAACTTCTTCTATCGATCGATACAAGAAAATATTATGATCTCCCAAGATGATTCATCTCTTAACGCTTTTGTAATCATAACCCGAACATAATTCACTTTTACCACTAACGTTAACTTTCGTCAAGTTTCCAGAATGTAAATCAAGAGGCTCTTGCCGAAGAAGACTTTCCCCTGAACCCAACAACACTTAGTTTCTTTCCTGGTCGTCTATCTGAACCCGTCTTCCCCCTCGCAGCAATCGATCTGGATCCAACCGTTTTTAATATTTTTCTTTTCGGCTTTGAAGATTTCTCTGGAGGTGATGATGCTTTCCTGGGTTTTGAAAACGAACTTGAACTTGACTTTCTCACGGGTGTCTTCCCACCTGTTAATCTTGCAGGAGGAGATGATGACGGTTTGTCTCTGGAGTTTCGTTGCTTGCTTACTTCTCTCATCTGCTTAACGCTTCTTCCTTTCTCTTGAGTGATTTGGCTTCTTGCAGCGTCTCTCCTCACATTATCAGTGGTGAGTGATTCTAAGCTCTCGTTGTTTCTCATTGCTTCTTCGATTCGTGCTGCTAACATTTGGTCCTTCCTGCTCACTAGACTTGTCACTTTTCCTGTAAAGAGACAATGTCAATACTTTCAGGGCCTCGAACCATAACCGAAGTAATAAGTATAGCCAAACACGCACCAAAATGAATTAAACCTATTAAAACCTAAAATTCTTTGACAATTCTTCAAATGCTTTGTAAGAAAACTGAACTCAGCCGAAACCGTATAGTATTCAGTTTTGGTTATCATTCTGTTTCTATATTTCATTAACAAAAATTCCGAAAACTGGACTCGGCACCCTAGCTGAAACAATCTGAAATACGAAAAGTCTTAACAAGTGATAAATCTAGAGGTATGAAACAAACCTTTAGCACCCATCCGAGCTGTTCTTCCAGTGCGATGAAGGTAGTCAATCTACGGAATTCAAGTTTAAATCAAGTAAAGTGTCAAGAAGAGTGGATCAACAAGTTAAGAGAAAAGAGAATAAGGATTATAGGCAGGAACATTTGCCAAGATACTTACAGAGTTCTTTGGAAAATCAAACATGACTACATGATCAACGTCGAGGTCCAGACCCCTCGCAGCCAAATCCGTGCACACTAGCGTGGGACAGTCTCCTTCTTCGTCCTTGAACTTTTTCAAATTCTCAACCCTGGATAGATGAGTGAGTAACAATTTTACACCTTGGTTAAGCATTGCATTCCTCAAGAAATGGATTACGTTTTAGCTAAGCTGTTTTAATCCCACCTTTGGTCTGCTGGAACTTCACCGTGATAATTTACAGTGGAGATCTGGTTTTCAGAAAGAAAGTGATCAACGGCACGACTGGAGTTCAAAGTGTTACAGAAGACCATCACCTTGCTCCCTTTGGCTAAGCTGGGTTCAAGAACCTGCATTCTCATCAAAGCATAAGTAATGTATAAGTACCGTAAGCGCATACCAGAAAGAATGTACATGTAACTTGGGACACATTTGCACCCAAACAAGAACCCTAGCATGTCTGATTGCCTTAATAAATCAGAATCTTAATGATGCATGTTACCTGTAGAAGTGCTTCTAGCTTATCTTCACCACCTGAAAGCTTGATGAAGTCATGGCGAGCGTTTGCTATCTTTTTATGCAATGTTGATGTTCGCAAATGTTCTATCCCTTGAAACTCCTCATCGACTAACTTCTGAACAGCCTGAAAACTCACAATTTCATTCACTACCTTAATATCTGAAGTTCAAGATGCATGGAACAACGACTTTATAAATCATGATAATAGCAAAGAAAATGAACATGTGCATACCGTTGTCATAGTAGCAGTCACTAAGACAGTTTGAAATCCTTGGTCATTTGTTTTTAAGGCACGCTGATTCAGTGGGGCAAGGAATTTACGAATCTCGGGACCAAAGCCTCGATCAAACATAGTGTCTGCCTCATCCAGCACCTGGGTAAAAAGATTTTCATTGCTCATCGTTTCATGTAGATCCCAAAACCATACGAATCATGGAACATAATGTCAAGATCATAAAGTGGAGCGTACCAAATATGTGATATCTCCATAGACCATGTTTCCTTCTTCGATATGCTGAAGAATCCTACCAGGGGTTCCAACAACCATGTCTATTGCATTGTTCAAAGAATCTTCCTGTGGTCTTATCCGAGAGCCACCACTAACCAATATCGATCTAAACCTCGCGTGATGGCTTATGGACTTCGCCACACGGTAAACCTAATGCAGACTCCTAATTAGTTTATCTTTCGCCATTTCTCTGTCTAAAAACAGTAATGATATATAACTAACTGGCATAAACTTCTATAATCACATATTAAACCATTCGCCAATTTTATCATCATCCTATAAGAAGGCAACCAAGACTTTTTTTCGGGCAACCACAGGGTCATATTGTTCCAATAGTCGAACTAAACAAAGAAACCGCATTTATCAAGAGCACTAACTAATCTTGGTAAAGACACAAACCTGCTCAGATAGTTCTCTGGTGGGACAAAGAACAACAGTCCTGGGACGCCTAGGCTTAGTTTTTTTACCAAGGTTTGCCTCATCTTCTCTCATCAACTACAAAAATCAAATCAACACAACATAAACCGCCATAGCGATATAACCATCTCGAATTCTCTACACATTACCCTAATGAATCAACACAACATTGAAACCAAGTGAGCTATATACACTGTAAAACAAAGAAACAAACCAAATCACTAGCAAACAAGCAATTCAAGAGCCAAACACTAATGTATGCTGCAACATTCAACTACAAAGCTCACTAAGCACCTGAACAATAGGCAACAAGTAAGCAAGAGTCTTCCCAGAACCGGTATGCGAACCCAAAACAACGCTCTTCCGTTCCATAACCGCGGGTATTCCGATACACTGAATCTCCGTAGGAACCTCAATATTCAACTCTTGTAAAGCTCCCATTACTTCCTCACTTAACCCAAGCTCCTGAAAATTCTCAACTAACTTCTTACTCTTCTTCCTAATACTATTCTCTTCCTCTACACCAACAACACTACTACTCGGTCTCTGTTGTGGTGGTTTCGCTGATTCCTTCAAATGTCGAAGCCTAAGCCTCTCAAGCAAAATCGTGTGTTTCAATTGATCCGGATCGGTAACATTCGTCTCCGTCGTCGGAGAAGTTTTTGCGGCGGCGGAGTAAAGAGGACGAAAAGCGTGGCGGAATCTAGGTTTGTGGAGGCGGAGAAATGGGAAAACGTGAGGGATTTTGGAGATAGTGAAGAGGGAAGAAGATAGAGATAGGGATAGGATTGTTCTTGAAGCTCCTACCATAGCTTTCGCGCGTGTTCTTGTTACTGAAGGAAGGAGATTGTGAGGTTTATCGGAAGGTTTTATGAAGTGTTGTTGTAGTTCATGGAGAAGAAGAAGAAGAAGAAGAAGAAGAAGAAGATAGGTTTTTGCAAGTGGAGTGTAATAGTAACAGATCAAAAGCCTTTTAAGGCCCATATGTTGGCCTATTAAGAGTCATTATGGGCCGTTTTACAGATTTGGGAATGAGGATTTGGGTTAAACTTTATTTTATACTTAGGGGGTGTATTGGAGTAAGGACTTTAGAAGAGTTTGATTTTTTACTGTTATTCAACTAATAATTTTTAAATGCCTTTCCAAATCCTATGTTATTGAAATTAGAATTTATGTAAAATCATTCCAAATCATTTAAAACCCCTTGTTATTCAATCAATGATTTTTAAAACTTATATCAAATCCACTGTTATTGAAAAATTTAAGAAAGGATTTTGAGAGAGATTTTAGGTGATTTTAGATACATTTTTAGTTCAAAATAGTGGTAAAGAAAATCACAGCTTTATAGGTGTGATTTGGAGAGGTTTTAATTAAAATAAAAATATCTTCCTATAATAAAATTGTAAAACGCTATCGAAAGAATTGAAGATCCTATCTCCCTCCCTCCATCCCTGCAACTCCACCATAATCAAATTCATTCTCCAACATGAGCTTTTGAAATAGAAATTCGTAGATGGCCTCCTCTTCAAATAGTGTAAGTTGGAAGCTTTGCAGAAATTAAAGAGCTAATCAATTTCTTATACCGGCAATGGAACTATGGTTGTGTTGATTCTTCTACTCATTAGAAAATCAAATCAAACATTTAAACTCGTTCTCTCTATAATCAATCATGTCTAATTGTCAAAAGAGATGTGTTAATAAAAAGTTTTGGTCAATATGCTGAATCTGAATGATTCATAAAGATGTCAATAAAAAGCTATTTTCATTCTCATGTTAATGGCTAACATGCTGGAGAGTGCTGGGAAAGGGAAGCAACTCTCAGCTTTGATCTCTGGAACATCTTGTCTTCA